TAGAGATTTCCTTGTCTCCCCTTCCCATTTCCCAGTATGGAGGCTCTAGCAATTCAAGCTCATGTTACTGCATCCAGCTTTTAAGTGGGTTCTGGGGGTCCAATCTCAGGTCATCAGATGTTTGGAAAACAGTTTTAGCCACTGAGCCATCTTTCCACATACAAGCTGTCGTCTTTGGTCCATAGCTGCATTGGTTGTGTTAATCCTATAGCTTTGGTTTTGTTGATAGTACAATGATTAATGACAATTATCTCTTTGAATAGGCTGAGGTGTTCCCCTCCCCCACAAAATTCTGTTGAGCTACACTGACTTTTCCAAAAGTGGAGAAGTGGAATTTTGTGGTTACATTGAGACAAGAATCCTGTATTCATAGAACAACCAGAAGAGCAGGGGGGGGGTGACAATAAATGGCATGTAAAGTGGATATGATCCAAGTGTAAGGGACTTTAATACAGGCACGTACTCACTAAGAATTGTATCATGGGAGCTGTGGAGCCATCTAAAGTTACAGTTTTCCATACTGCCTTTGACTAATTGTCAGATGCTGAGCAAGATGCCTCTCTTCATTTCTTCCTCCATAAAAACACCCCCCCAAAAGCAGCCTATATGTGACACAACACCATGGAAAAAGGGCCATGTTCATAAAAGTTAGGCTCTATTGGGAGAGAGAAAAGGAAAAACATTAGAAATAACAGAGACAATAAGACAGCTGGAAAGTTCAGAGAAAGGAATGGCTGTATGGTAGAAGGGAGACAGATCACCTGGCTCACCAGCAGAGAAGGGAAGTTGAAGGCTATGATCTACTAATTAAATCAGGTGGCCCGGGTATAAAAGACTGACAGTCCTAACCAAAGGACAAGCTCATGGTTCTCATAAGTTGTTAAATCCAGTTGGCTGATTTTTGCATGATAATGACTCCTCCTGCATGGTAAATCAGCACTGAAGACGAAATCCATTCTAGCATTGATCATGCCATGGATGCTACAGCCAGGTGCTAGCTTAGGCCGAAAGGACATTATTTGAGACTGACCTGCCCTGGGCAAACAAGTAACAGTCCCCAACCAGGATGCCAGGATCACCCTGCCACAGTCTCTGGGAGGAAGAGGGCACACAAAGAATTCCTGTTAAGAGGAGGGCTTGATGCAGACACTCTGAGAAGTTCAGGATGCAGGAGGCTTGTGCTGGGTAGAGCATACTGATTGGTGGTCCCAATCCATACAAAGGTGCAAACTACATCACATGAAATGCCTAGAAACTGACATCTCAGAGCTAAGGGTCAGCAGGTGACACCAACTCCAGGGCTTCATACAGTTTTCCAAGGGCAAGACTGAGAATCCCAAAGTTTAAGTTTAGTAGAGTGCTCAATCTCAGCATCCTCCCCACCCACCTGTAGTATGCTTCATGCTAACAAAGACTTGAAGACACTGAGATTGGTGCTTCAATATAGACCTCGGCACCTTGTTCACATCCTCTTCTCCCCCAGTGTACTAGAGAGCTGTCCACTTCCTGTCAACTAGTTACTGACTAAGCCTCCTGACCCCAGGTTAATTTTATTTAATCAAATAAATGCATCATTGCATAATTAACAAAGGCAGCAGAAACAAATGTAATACACCTTCATGCAGTTAAAAGAATATTCCACAAGGCAGAGATCTGTGAGTGTCAAAACTTGTGGATATAGTGACTTCCAGGCCAATCAGGGCTAGCCAGCCAGGGAAACTTGTCTCAGAAACAAAACAAAACAAAAAAGACAATCATGTAGTTGTACTTCCTTGTCAGAACCTCCAGCCAGCGCATAATGGCATGAATAGTTAGACTTAGATTAGATGTGTTCCTAACTAGTTCTTATAATTTAAATTAACCCATATATTCTAATCTATGTTCTTCCGTGTGTCTCATTACCTCATCTCCATGCTACCCAACTTTCTTTTTTTTCTCCATTTTTTATTGGTATTAGAAACGATTGTTTTACATGTCAATTCCAATTCCCTCTCCCTCCCTTCCTCCCCTGCCCCCACAACTAACACCCTATCTATCCCATGCCCTTTCTGCACCCAAGGGAGGGTGAGGCCTAACATGGAGGATATTCAGAGTTTGTCATATCCTTTGGGATAGGGCCTAGGCCCTCCCCTGTGTGTCTAGGTTCAGGGAGTATACCTCCATGTGGGATGGGCTCCCAAAGTCCATTCCTATGCTAGGGATAAGTACTGATCTACTACAAGAGGCCCCATAGATTTCCGAGGCCTCCTCACTGACACCCATGGTCATGGAGGCTGGATCAGTCCCATGCTGGTTTCCCAGTTATCAATCTGGGGACCATGAGCTCCCCCTTGTTCAGGTCAGCTGTTTCTGTGGGTTTCACCAGCCTGGTCTTGACCCCTTCACTCATCACTCCTCCCTCTCTGCAACCGGGTTCCAGTTCAGTTCAGTGTTTAGCTGTGGGTGTCTGCTTCTACTTCCAAGAACTGCTGGATGAAGGCTCTAGGATGGCATGTAAGTTAGTCATCAATCTCATTATTGGGGGGACAGCATTTAAGGTAGGCTCTCCATTGTTGCTTATATTGTTAGGTGGTGTCATCCTTGTAGATCTCTGTACATTTCCCTAGTGCCTGATTTCTCTTTAAACCTATAATGG